AGGCGATCCTAGGCGAGTCTGCGTTACACACGGAGCTCAAAGGAATTCTAGATGTGCTGGAATGGTGTCACTCGAACCAGCTCAAGGAAATCCAGGTTAAAATAGATTGCCAACTGGCGATTCAATTCCTCCGACGCCCGTCCTCGGGGCCAGTCCAGCTACAACACCTGCTAGAGGAGATTTGTAATAAGGGTAGTTTATTTGTTTTCTGTAATGTTAGATATGTTTCGAGACAAATCATTAGGGACGCCCATGACCTAGCTAATAAGGCTAGGAACAGGGACACCTAATGTCTTTAGGTTTTTCTTAGTGCATGTAAAAAAAATAAAAAAAATAAAAAAAATAAACCCTAATTTTTGCCCTAAAATGTTACTTAGATAGAAATTAATAATTTAGATGAAATCAAGGCTTTTAAATCTTGAAATTTACCTCATATCGAATAATATAACTTATACATCAAGGTTTGTTTTCGAAAATAATAAAAAATAGAGCTTATACAACAAATAAATGATAAATCACTACCTTAACAATTACTGGCGATTATGGATGAAGAAAGAAGAATGATAGCAGTGGTGGAGGCATATTTGTGGTATTTGAGGAGAGAATGTGTACGAGAAGAGAAAAAATTTAAAATTACAGGATTTTGAATTGAATTTAAAATTTTAAACGATTCTCTAATTTGACCATATCAAAATCTAAAATCTTCTATTAACTAAACATTACACTTGGCCCAATTATAGCTTAATTTGAAACAATTCCATGTTTAAGCTATTGTGAAACAACTATATCCAGTTGCGGATCTTGAAGATAATTCTTCCAGGTTTTGTTTTTTGTTTTTTGTTTTTTTTTTTTTTTTGTTTTTTTTTTTTGTGTGTGTGTATACAATATTAAATACTCTATCAATTTTGTTTTTATAGTGTAAATTGATCTTTAGTTTTTAAAAAGTCACATATAAAAAATTTAGTCCCTAATAAACAATTTATATCAAAATTAATATACCCGTCTTGTAACAGATTGGAGGAAAAAAAACACAAAAGGTACCATGTATGGTAAATCTCGTACTATTAAAAAAGAGGTTAATGCTCATCCAAACAAAAAACAATAATGAAATTATTAACCAAGTCTTTTATTTAAAAAAGATAACACTAAGAACAAGAGCAAGTATAATTTCAAGGGGATAATAATGAAAAAAAAAAAAAAAAAAACCAAGATTATCTAATACTTGTACTCAAAAAAATAATAATAAATAAATAAATAAATGACATTTGCAGAAATGTGGTCATCGAAATTGCAAAAGCTCTGTAAGTGTGTAATGTGGGTAGTTAGGTAACTTTAGTTTTGTTAGCGTTTTTTTCTTTCCCTAACATTTTTCTTAATTTTGGGCTAAATAAACTGAAAATTTTTGGGCTTCTACCAGGGGCCAGGACCCATATGGCCCCTGTGGAAGATCCGTCATAGACTATATCTAATTAGTACGAAGTACTATTTTTAAATGACATGCTCTTATTCAAACAAGACATTGACTATTTGACTCATTATGTAATTTTCCTACTTTTGTTTTATTATTAAATTATAGGTGTGAATCCATTAGTCTCTTATTATTGTAAAGTTTATTTGGGTTTTGTAGTTAGAGTTCCAAAACATACATCAAAATACAATGCTAATTTACAATTTCCTATATTACTTGGCCATTGATTTTTATTAATTTATTGCTTATGGTTAGATTATTAACATGAAGAGCATTATCAAAGGGGTTTTTTTTAATTTTATTTTATTTTATTTATTTATTTAATTATTTTTTTTTTTTTTTTTTTTTTTTTTTTTGCGTGTGTATGGATGTTCTTGTTACTGAATCAGAAATCCCAAAGAAAGAGAGATAATGAAAGTGTGGAAAAATATCACATTGGAATAATACAAAACACTTAATTACCTTGATTACTTTTAAGCTTATTTAAGAGGTTATTCAACTATATAAAATTTGCATAAAAGTTAGGAAAAATTGCTCCCATTAATCTGAACTTTGCCTCGTCCGCCCAAATTAATCCATACTTTTGATTATTATTTATCACTCCCAACTTTAGGGGGTATTAATTTCTATTGCACCCAACATGTCATCCAACCTGATATAGCAGGTTACCTAGACATGTGTCAGCGTATGATTGACTTATTTTATTTTTTAAAAAAAAACAACTCGCAAACCACCCATGCCCAGCAGTTGCCACCACACCCCCACCCCCACACCTCCGTAAAATCATCCTCATCCTCGAAAACCCCACTGTACCAGAAACTGCCGCCAGCCACCCCTTCCCTTTCCCAAATGCCGAGCAAGGAGGCCACAAAATTAGCCACGAACGGCCGAAATTTGCCGATTTAGGGTTAAAACCAGCCCTTCAGCCCGAAATTTGGTTGATTTCATCCATTTCCGGTGTTTGTTTTCAGGGAGAAATGGGGGTGCGTTTCCTGGTGGTCGTTCTCATCAACAAGAGTTTTTAAAGGGAAAGGGGAGGGTGGTCGGGCGTCACCGGCACTAGGAGAGGGGAAGGATGACCGGACGGTGACCGGTGCTCGAGGGGAAGGGTGTTGGGCTGGTCGTGGGTTGCTGTGGGGTGGTCATTGGTGGCAGCGCGTGGGCTGCTATGGGTGGCTGGGTTTGGTTTTAGGATTTTTTTTATTTTTACATTTTTTTTTTATTTTCTCTATTTTTTTCAACCAATTACATATTGACACGTGTGCAAAAAAAAAAAAAAAACTAATTCACAAATGTGTACCTGATTGACCGATTGCAAGTCATTTGGGTGCAATAGAAATTAATACCTAAAGTTGGGAGTGATAAATAATAATCGAAATTATGGATTAATTTGGACGAACGAGACAAAGTTCAGATTAATGGGAGCAATTTTTCCTAAAAGTTATGAGGCATGAAAATTATATTTGCTTGATAAACGGGTATGGACTTAAATGAGTAAATTAGAAATGGTTTATGGAATAGGGTTAGTAAAAATGAAATAAAGGATATGCTAAGGGAAATCAAGCAATAGCAATGATGGATCAAGCATGTGATTCGCGTTTTGATGAGGAATAAGATGTGCGAGTGTATTGTGGGCAGCCCCTTATCTTTTTGGCGTCAGTCTTACCTTTTTTGGCTGCTTTATTACACCATTTATTTTGTACTTGTTGGTACTCAATTACCCTTAATGACCCACTATATTATCTTCTTAATTGACAAACTGTCACGAACCTTTTCTTTTGTTATTTAATGTCATATTCCAACTTCTAATTAGTCACACATCTAGAAACAACCTTTTCTCCTATCTCAAAATTACCTTCGTCTTTGGGAAATATTCTATCTTCATTCAAGTTTGTGTTTGCGCACAAATTCTAAAGCCATGCTAATCTTGGAGGGCCACCACTTCGTGTATACTATACCAAGATAGCACAAAATCATTTTTCATCATAGTAGTTCACTAGTCCATCATATCGTAACACTCGTTTGTTTGGCTCATCACACACCAAGATAAAAATATGCATTCTGTTTTTGCTTATTTCATATCATTTATTAGTAAATTTATAGAAGATTTTTATGTCAATGAGATTTAGTACTCCGTAATTGCTTATTAATGGTTTTTTTAATAAAATAAAAGTTAGAAAATTTCAAAATCATCAATTACTCTCAACCACTATGGACAATCATACTCCATAAGTCACCACATATTGGCCTTGTTTGGTAAATAACTTATTTGAGCAAAATTAGCTTATTTGACCAACAATAGCTTATTGACTATTAAATAAGCTAACATAAGGTGTTTGGTGGAAAACTTATTTAAAGAGTTTATTCCACTAAATAAGCTCTTATGCTAAAGGCAAATAAAGAAATGAATAAAAGTAAGGCATAAGGTGGTTCAACTTCAAATTCAAAAAATAAAATTAAGAGGTGATTTGAATGTTCGTGAATGTAAAATTAAAATAATGTCCTTTTAATGACAATATTCATTATAAAAAAAAAAGATAAATTTATGAGTTTGTCTACTAGTACTTTTGAACAATGATGCTTAAAATTTTTCCGTGAACATAAGAGATATTTTTTTTCCAAAATAAAAATGACAATGTCATAAGAGATAAGGAATTTAAAACAATTCAATTTCACCAACTCAGATTAACTAATTTATTGACATATTCTCTTTCGCAAGTAATCTATTTCAACTCTTTATGTATAATCAAGCGACCACTAAAGTAAAAGCGTGGAATTAAAAATCGGATAAAGAAAAGGAAATAAATAAGGACACAAAGAGCAACTTTCTATCAATCCAACAAATTATGGTCTTCGGCCAGAGTTGGCAAAGGAACAACAGCAGGAAACACTCAGATGCACTTCCCCACTCAAATCTTAGCTTCTCCAAACCCTAATATGTCGGGCTCACACCCTCTTTCCTTCCTTTCTCCTACTTCTACCAACTAACTAACTACCCAATTTACCAAAAATCCCCAATTTTTAATTGCTTTACTTTGCATTTCATATGATGCTGTTTTTCTGGTGATTGATTGCTTTTTCAATCAATCTGGGGTTTTATCAATTGGGGGTTGTTTTAATTGCTTTTTCTAAGGTTGAAAATGTGAAATGTTTAGTTTTTTAGATCTGGGTATTTTAGTTTCGTTGATTTTGTACGGGAAGAAATGAAGAAATTGGGGTTTATTTGATCATTAATTTTGATGATTAAAATTAAAGTTTGGAGCTTTATCTACTTTGTAGTAGTGGGTATTTGTTTAATTACTGCTAGCTAGCTTTATTCTCATTGCTGGGAATTTTTCATGGTATGATTCTTATGTGGGTCGATTTTTCGAAATTAGGGTTTTGTGAGTGTGGAATTACTTGGATGATGTTGTTGTATCAGGGTTGAATTATGGTGTAGGAAATGTGGAAGTAATTTGTATATCATAAGGTGGTCTATAAGGGTTAAGGAAGCAATATATAAACTATAGTATATAGGTTTAAGGTTATAACAATGTCTTTTAGGAGCATCTTACAAGACATGAAAGATGTAAAGTATAGTTTTAGATCAAGGTCCCAAAGAGTGGTCCATGATAATTTGGTGGTGGTTGATGCTATGGAGCAGAGTTGTTGGGCTAACATGCCGCCGGAGCTCTTGAGAGAAGTGCTTGTAAGAATTGAGGCATCTGAGTGTACTTGGCCTCCAAGGAGAAATGTCGTTGCGTGTGCCGGTGTGTGCAGGAGTTGGAGGGATGCTATGAAGGATATTGTCAAAACACCGGAGATTTCGGGCAAGCTGACGTTCCCCATATCTGTGAAGCAGGTTTGAGATGATACAAATTTTCCTCTTTTGTTTTTGTACTTGAATTATGTATGTTATGATATGATTACATTGTTGGAAGTTCTTTTCTATGGGTGCTTTCCTGTTCTATTTACCATATTTTGTGTTGTAATCGTATTTTAGGAAAGTTATGATGTAATTGTGTTTTAATAATATCGCCGTGAATGAAAATGGAGTACAAAACAAAATGCTGTGAAGGTTATTTACTTTCCATGTTTCCGGTATATATGATGAAACCCTGATGTGTTGAAAATGATAAATTGTTAGTTGATTATTGATATCTATAAGAAGTTATATCCTGCAAAATATTTATGAATTTGTAAAACATTTTTAGTATGTGATGGTGATCTGCTGTAGCTTGCTAGTTGCTAGTTGTTAGTCCATGTGTATTGTGCATTAATTTTAGACAATTAGTACTATTGTTTTGTAGCAAATATAGTCATTTAGAGAATTGATACTAATTTTGTTCTTTTGTTAACTAATGGGCCATTAAAGCTTTTAAAATCTTATTGCCAAATATATATCGATAACCGAGGCTATGTTTTACTCGTCTTCTTTAGGAACTTATTATTGCTTATACTAGGACAATTCAGACCACACTAGATTTCTTATTTGCATTTGCTTATTGCCAATTATCAAAATTTCTTGTTAGTAGAATTTTGAAAATTAGATATTTGAAAAATACACTTTGAACAAATCTAACAAGACCTCACTTAATATTATACAATTACAATCAAAGGTCAATCAAACTAGTTTATAAAAGCAATTCAAACCAAACTTTAGAAAAGTTAAGATTAGACCAGGTCAAACCTTTAAACTAATCACACCAAAACATCTTATTTCAAGCAAAGTAAACATAGCCTTAAAAACATTAGAAGAATGAGTATGTGATCTGAAGGGAATTTTTTGCACTTTACTGATGCCATATGGTTGATTGGTTGCTGAAGAATTTAATGTGATGAAAAAGTGTCTAGTTTCTTTCTCTTTGTGCATTTTTAATAATATATGTTTTCCTGAAAAAAATAAAGTAATTTTATCTCGAATTTAAGTATAAAAATAAATAGGGTGGCCACATCAGTTTAAGAATCTAAATATTTTGGTGACTATCTTTTTACTTGTGCCCTCAAAGAATGACATTGGTGATTGAGTCCTCAGTTATGAAGCCAAACATTTTACGAGGAAATTTAGGGAATACCTTGTTCGCTGTTTTAATGGATGAAATTAATGCTTGTTTCGACCTGAATTTTGTACTGGAAAAAGAACACGCTGAAGCTTTTGGTCTTTAAGGGACTGCTAAAGGCATCATTGTATTTGCAAAATTGATTTAAGGATGATGTGCGAGGGAACAAAAGAACATTTGGGCTTGCTCTTGTAAAATTTAAGTATGTGTGGAAGCATTTATTACAATTTCATAGTAAGGGTTGCATAGGAATGTTATGGCACCTTCTGCAATTGTTGTAACAGTTGCAAAGCCACTTCTGTTAATGATGCGAATGATTTATGATGAAAATGATTTTGTGGCTTTTCCAGCCCAATTTCACCTTGTGAGAGCTCAAAAATGACTTTGACATGGCTGTCATTGGTGTCTGGGCTGACACCTTTTCTTAGCCTGAAATCAGATTAAGTACTTGAGAAATTTTTGTACATAGATTGTATGAAAACTATGTATTCCATTTTCATACAAAGTTTTTAATTTGCTATTTCTAAAAGTTGAAAAGATAAATAAAATAATAATAATAAACTTAAAAATATATAAAAGAAAATTAAAAAATATAATCTGTCACATAGCCCTATTGCTGTGTAATTGTTGCTTATCTGTCAAGGCAACTTGCTACAAAACTTCAACCTTGAGTGATTACTTGTGAACACACTGAAGCCCACTTAGTTTATGAAAAAATTTTGAATTTATTTTTATATTAAAGGCAATTATTATCATTTTTTCTTTAAGGATCTTGCTTTTCAGTGGATGTGAGTAAATCTTTGGTTATACTTTCTATTGATGAATTTGTGGTCATAGGATTATTTTCATCATGAGTGGAAGAAATCTGTCTTTTGTATTAATAGCTAATGTTGGTTGTTATAAAACTAGATGCTTTTTGACCTGAGCTAATGTTTACTTATGCTGCTTTATTTAGCCTGGATCAAGAGACACTCTTATTCAGTGTTACATTAAGAGACATCGTGGCAGCCAGACATATTATTTATTCGTTAGCTCAAGCTCAGGTGAACTTGCTGTACCTTTTTGAATATTCAGCTTTCCATTTAAATAGATTTTTCAAAGCAAGTTTTGATAGGGAATGACTTAGGTCTAGAGCTTATAAATGCATAATAATAGACAATCCTAATAATGGGCATGATTGTATTTTCTGTTTTACTCCTTCTTCCCCACCCTTGTTTGCACGAGTCTCATTTACTCTCAAATTGATGTTAGCTTCATATGACGATGGCAAGTGCATTCTTGCTGCAAGGAAGTGTAGACGCCCGACTTGCACAGACTACATCATTTCCCTGAATCCTGAATACGTCTCCAAGGGAAGTAGTGCCTATGTTGGGAAATTAAGGTATTTTCTACTGCGTATTGACTTTGTTCTTACAGCCGAATTTCACTGCTTTAAACTTATTGGCCATTATTTGAACCTAAATTTTCAAGGTGAAAAGAACAAGGCACATCAATATTTAGTTTGGACAATTTCCTAAATTCTACTCCTATATTTTCAACCACAGATCCAATTTTTTGGGCACAAAGTTTACAATCTACGATGCACAACCCTCAAATGCTGGAGCTAGAATCATAAGAAGTCACTCTACTAGACTAGTGGGATCAAAGCAGGTTGCACCCAGGGCTCCTGCAGGCAACTATCCTGTGGCACACATCTCTTATGAGCTGAATGTCTTGGGCGCTAGGTAAACCATGAAGATTTATGTCTTTCTTCATCCTTAAAAATCATGAGAGTTGTGTTTGTGATTTCTGAAGAATGACTTCTTTATTGACAGGGGTCCGAGGAAGATGCAGTGTGTCATGGATAGTATACCTGCTTCTGCTATCAAACCTGGAGGACTGGCCCCCACACAGACTGAATTTCTGGTCAATAATGTGGATTCTTTTCCTTCAATCCCCTTTTTTAGGTCAAAATCTATTAGGGTGGACAATTGCTTGTCTGATGCTGCTCCCAATCAGCAAGAGGGAAGGTTAAACCTGAGAAACAAGGCCCCTAGGTGGCATGAACAACTTCAGTGTTGGTGCCTTAACTTCAATGGTCGTGTAACTGTTGCTTCTGTCAAGAACTTTCAACTGGTTGCTTCCCTAGAGGATGGATCTGAGCATGAAAGTGTTATTCTTCAATTTGGAAAAGTCGGAAAGGATGTATTCACCATGGATTATCACTACCCAATTTCCGCTTTCCAGGCTTTTGCCATTTGTCTGAGCAGCTTTGACACCAAGATTGCTTGTGAATGATATGCATTTGAGCCTTTGAGGTATGATTTAAGTTCATTAGCCATCCTTGACTTGCATGATGCCTTTTCGTTCTGGTATACCTTTTTGTTCAATTATTTAAATGGAGCTATTGCCATGAGACAGAAATACTAGATTTTTATGTTACATGGAATCTTCATGTTACCTCAAGTACCTCCAAGGCTCCAACACTATTCTTGACTAAAATCATGGAAATTTTTCACAATTTAGCCGATTTGGACACATACCCGTTCCAACACTAGTACCCAAGTCCATGAAACACAACTAGATTTATACTATTGAGTAGCTGACATTTAAAATCATAACATGTTTCTTACTCTGACCAAAGTTGGTTTGACCTTTTAATTATTATACCATATTACCATTCCTCTGATTGTTTGGTTAATGCCATTTTCATTATAATCTTCAAGATATTTTTGTACTATAATTGCACTTTGATTATTTTGGTTCCCTGAGGAAGAGATAAGGTATTATTTTAAGCCCAAGCAAAGCTTGCAAAGCAACTTATATTTTTCTTCCTGCTTGCAATATCTCAGGTAATTTAACATGTGTGTGAAAGGGTGAAGCTGTTGCACTTATCGGCATGTGGATGTTGGTGAGGAAGATTCTAGTTTGTTGGGCAGCGACTTCGCTACTGTGTGATTAGTTAGTTCATTTACTGTCAACTCTAATTTTCGCATCGTGTACATATAATTTGAAGTCTGTGTTAAAAGACAGGCTTTAGCTTACTTGACTGTTTGTTGGCTGTGCGCTTTTCTTTCCTTTTTGTGTTTTCTGTTCGGGGTGAGAAGGTGTGCTGAAACTCACCTGCCGGAGGATTTGTCGCCTTTGTCAACATTAATTGTCTTGCTGTAATGTTAGATTAGCGAGGTTTGTTGTATGGTTTCTGTTTCAGGAGTTTCTCTAAGTTTCTTGTCGTATGTGCTCCAATAGCATCACTGAGCTAATATAATTAGATCTTAGAACTTTAGAAGTATTTTAGTACGCTATACGAAAACTGCATCAACGCGATTTTCTTCCCTCGGCAAAATTACCACTAGGCTGATCAAATGGACTAGTTCTGTTTCAAGTTTTTGCCAGGGACTAAAGCAATCAAGGGGCATAATAAGGCGAAACCTTTGTCATATTCATATTACCCTCTAGAAATGTGGCTTTTCACCATTGTGTCTGTAAATTAAGTTTAATTCAGGGGGTTAAAGACTAATGAAAGTATTCTCATTGAGTTCTAGCTTGTGGTTCAAAAAGACAATTCAACATAAACATACTCATAGTAATGAATAAAGGAAGCTGAAGCGGCTTTTCTTTTTTGGAGACAACGAGCAAAAGTGAAATGGGATGAGTTTGGTGATGAGCATTCTAAGTTGTTTTTTTCTGCAGTTCAGGCCCGACGGCGGAAGAACACTATTATGGGGCTTAAGGACCATGAAGGTTCTTGGGTTTCGGATGCGGGGGATATTCGTTCTTTGGTTCTCAATTTTTACAAGTCTTTATACAGTAGGAATTTGGACCGACCTTCTGTTTCTGAATTCCCTTAGGATTCCCTTCAGTTCCCTTCTTTGTCTAATAGGCATCGTCAGTCCATGCTAACCCCCTTTTCAGCTGATGATATTAAGCAGACGATGTTTAGTATTGCTGATGATAAGTCTCCAGGATCCTGATGGTTATACTTTAGCCTTTTTTAAGACCTATTGGAGTGAGGTGGGTGATCAGGTGGTGAATGCTGCCCAGTTCTTTTTTGCTCATGGTTATTTGCTTAAGGATTGGAATCGGACATTCTTAGTTTTGCTTCCTAAGGTAGATCACCCTGAACTTGTTTCTCAATTTAGACCGATAGGACTCTGTAATGTTCTTTATAAATGCATAGCTAAGTGTCTTGCTTGTCGTCTACGTTGGATACTTCCAACATAGTTTCAGATTTTCAGAATGCCTTTGTTCCGGGTAGGTTAATGTCTGATAATTGCCTGATGGTGCACGAGATTCTTTCATTTATGAATGCTTCCAAAGCCAGGAAACGTTTTTATGCGGCCTTGAAGCTAGACATGAATAAAGCTTATGACAGAGTTGAGTGGGACTTTGTGTGTAGGGTTCTTCAGGTTTTTGGGTTTCCTCCCTACTGGATTCATCTGATTATGCAGTGTGTATCTACAGTGTCATACCAGGTATTGGTTAATGGGTCACCTACAGAGGGTTTTCGTCCTCAGCGTGGTCCACGTCAAGGAGATCCGCTATCTCCATACCTGTTTGTTTTGTGCATGGAGGTTCTTTCGGCTATGCTGCGTAAGGCAGAATCGGAAAATCTTTTTCAGGGTATTAAAATTGCTAGGGGGGCTCCTACCATTTCACACTTGTTCTTTGCAGATGACTCCTTGCTATTTTTCAGGTTTCTCTTCCAGCTTGTGAACAAGTGTTGAATGTGCTTTCTGCTTTCTGTGATATTTCGGGTCAAATGCTTAATTTGCATAAGTCATTTGTCAAGTTTAGTCCTAATACTCCTGAGGATTACTGAGCTTATCTGTCTGGTTGTTTGAAAATGCGATCTGAATCTAGATTGGGTTCATATTTGGGGCTTCCTGTTGATTTAGGTCGTAGTAAATGCTCTGAGTTCGGTTTCCTCTTGGATAAGGTGGCCAAACATCTACAAGCCTTTACAGCTCTCCGGCTTTCGCCGGCGGCTAAGCTTGTTATTATTAACTCAGTGCTCATTGCCTCCTTTAATCACATCTTGTTTGTTTTCAAAATTCCTGAATCTATATGTTCCAGAATGGATAATTTGTTAGCCAGGTTCTGGTGGAAATCTTCTTCTTCTAATCGAGGATTGGCTCTTCGGTCTTCGTCGTTGCTCCATCTTCCGAAGGGTTTAGGGGGATTAGGAATTCGTAGTATTTCCCTTTTTAACTCTTCCCCGTTGGCGAAGCAGAGTTGGCGACTTATTCACTGCCCTAGCTGTTGGTTTCTCGGCTTCTGTCTGCGAAGTATCCAGCTCTTTGTTCTACTAAATCCATCTCAACTTCTCGTCCCTCCTGGGGTTGTAGGGGTCTTATTTCGGGGATGTCCTTGTTGTTGAAGGGTTTGTGTTGGAAGGTTGGTTAAGGTTATTGAGTTCGTATTTTAGAGGATTCTTGGGTTCCGGGGGGACCAATTCATTTTAAGAATCTTCCGTCCGAGTCAGTTCGACCGACTCTTGTTTCTTCTTTACTTGATCCACGTTCTTGCGCGTGGGATGCTACTATTATTCACGGGTTGTTTGATTCTAGTTCTGCTGCTAGAATTCTTTCTTTGGATCGACCTATGCGTTTAATGGATGATTTTGTTTACTGGAAGTTTACTAGGGATGGAGTTTTTACAACGAAATCTGCTTATGCTCTTCTTTGTGAGCCTAGGGTCATGTCTGGTAGTCCATCTCAAATCTCTCAAGCATGGTGGAGGAAGTTCTGGGCTTTACCAATTCTTCCTCGTTGGAAAATATTTGGTTAGAAATTGTTGCACGACGCTCTTCCTTTAGCGACTATTCTCAATTCTCGAGGCCTCCCTGTTGATCCAGTTTGTGCATTTTGTCATGCGGATGTAAAATCTGTGTCTCATACATTCAGAGATTGTCCTGCTATCTGTAGTCTTTGGTTATAGAGGGCGTTGGGAATCCAATGGGATCTTATGCAGTTTCCTTCGTTTAGTATTTGGTTCTCAGGTACAATTTCTCTTTTTTCGTCATCTAGAAATTGGAAGGGCATTTTTTCGTTTTTTTTTCTCTCCTTTGGGCGATTTGGATTTCTCGTAATCACTTGAGGTTTAGGAATGTTGTTTGGTCGCCTGGGTCAATTGTGGGTTTGGCGTCAGATTGGGTTATTCGTAATATGCAGGCTCTAGATTGGAAGAGGTTTACGAGGTCTTCTTGTTCGGTTAGTTTGGAGGCTAGGCATGATGTCAAGTGGTTGTGTCTGCGGGGGTTACCTTATATTTCTCCAACGGCATGTTTGATTGTAGATGGGCCTGGGATTGCTCTACTTATAGGGCGGGAGCAGGCTGGATAGTCCGTGATCTTCATTCTTCTGAGGTCCTGGGAGGTGGTTCTCGGGCTTTTACGGCAAGTTCAGCGTTGCAGTCTGATATTCAAGCTTGTATATGGGGTTTGGAGTTTGCTATTCGCAAAGGTTTTTTAAAAATCCGGGTTGCCCTCCTTACTCTTCTTCCTCCTTCCGGCTCAATGGAATTTTATGCTTGGTGGCATATCCAGGAGTTGCGGGCTTCTGTTCAGTCTCTTTTGGTCTGTTAGGTTCAAAAGGTTCCTCGTATGTGGGTTACTCCTGCTTACTGGTTGGCTGGTTGTGCCCGGCGGCGTCAGTTGTTGTATTTTTTGTTTTAGTTTTTTTGGGTTGACATTTGTTATTTTTGGTATTTTTTTTCAATTTGATAGCTCTTTTGTCAAAAAAAAAAAAAGTCTATCCAACATAAACGTACTTATGGAGTTAGGGGTGCTAATTAGGCGTACCAAGCCTGGACTCAGCTCACCTTGTTAAGGTCTCGGGAAGAGCAACCTTAGACAAAGCTGAGCTCAAACTATTCACATAAACATACTCATAGACTCATAGTACCATCAACTCAAAAGTAGTTTCAACAGTACTTCATACTAGTAAAAGGCAATACATACAGAATTTGATCCAATATCATCTTATGTAGCCCGATGAAAATATTGATAATTTTTCTTAAATAAACCATTGTGGACCAAACTTATCACGTGACTTTACTCAGCTGGCTGAGTTTACTCTCCTCTCCTCTCCTCTCCTATTTTCTTACATATTAATTGCTCCAAATTACAAAATTAATTCTTTCCTTTATTTTGTCAATTTATCTGACACTTTCTCTCTCTTCCCTTCTTCCATTTTCTCTCTCCTCAGCTCGAGTTCTTCAATGGCGAGAACCAGAGGAGGTGGTACATTTCAACGAAAACGTGGCCTCCGTTCTTCTGCTACAAAAGTCGACGAACCACAACCTTCAGGTAATCTTCGTTTATATCTTTTTTTCTGCAATATTTAGTTGATTAATTGTTGTTTTCTTTAATTGAAATTATTTGGATGAATTTTGTATGAATTTTTGTTTGAATTTTGTTTCGTAGTGAAGATCTAGGGTTTTGCGATGCTTGATTGTTATTTCGTTCAATTTTGATTGTTTTTTGTTTTGTGATTCAATTTTATTGATAATGTGTTGTTGTCGATGATTATTTGTGTAAATTTGAACTGATTATTTGTTGTTTTTCTTTAATTTCAACTATTTGTATGAATTTTTGTTTTAATTTTGTTTTGTGGTGAAGATCTAGGGTTTTGCTATTTTCGATTTTTATTTTCTTTAAATTTTGATTGTTTCCTGTTTTTTCATTCAATTTTATTGTTAATGTGTTGTTCTCGATTAAGATTTGTGTAATTTTGAGCTGATTAATTGTTATTTTTGTTTAATTGAACTATTTGCATGAATTTTGTTTCGTACTGAAGATCTAGTGTTTTGTGAGTTTTGAATGTAATTTTGATAGCAATATGTTTCATGTATGATTTGTTAATTGTGCTTTATATAATAATTATAAAAATTGTCAAAGGTTACTATAATATACATTTTGATTTCTTTTGTATACAAATGTTGTCAAAGGCTTGAAGAAGAATACTAGAGCTAAAAAGAAAAAGAAATGCTCCTGAACAAGATGTTTCCAGAGAGCTTCATGAGCATCAGGCAACTAGTTCACCTTCGTCTCGGCAAAAGAGAACTCGTGAAGATGAACCTGAACCTAGTGTTCAAGCTACTGCTCTTGTTCGTGTTAAGAGGCAAAGGACAAGAACAAATAAAGCAACAGTTGAAGCTGGTGGTGATGTACCTATGTAAGTAACTTTGTTTACTTTGTAGTGTTCTGAAAAAATTAGATTCAACATGCATGCTTGTGTGACTTTGCATTATTATTTCTATTTTGCAGATTGCGACCATTTAAAACTAAATGTAGGCCTTTGCAATTGGTTGACTTGATGTCTAACTTTACTGATGCTAAAATTTTTTCTGTGAATGAAATCGGCTTTGGAGGGTTGTTATCATTGAAGTTGAAAAGGAATCCTACTAGTATGTATAGGTGGCTAATTGATTGTTTTGACTGTGGTAGCTGCATGTTTTCAATAGACAATAGTAAGGAGTTTGTGGTCACTGAATATGATGTGTATGACGTATTTTGCCTTCCTTTGAACCCTAATAATGTTGAGGAGATACCTCGATCTGCTAATATAAGTAATCCTGACTTTGTTTTCAAACATAATTGGAGGTTGAATTTTGGGTTGGCAGATGAAAATGTCCAAATTCCACTTAATTTGTTAGAGGATAGGATACCTACTTTAGATCAAGGTGGTGATGAGTTTAAGCAACTCTTTGTTATGAATGCAGTATCCTCTTTTTTGGCTCCTACTTCTAATCGAACTGCTGATCTTAGGATTGCTAAGGCACTTGATGATGTTGGACAAATTAAAAATTTGAATTGGTGTAAATATGTTCTTGAAAAACTGTGTGAAGGTGTTAAAAGTTACCAAAAAGGAGAAATTCAAAACTGTTGTGGTTGTATTTTGATGTTGGAGATTATTTACTTTCATAGGTTGAAATTTAGGAATGTTGAATTAAGTACTTCTTTACCCTTAATTCAACATTGGAATGATGAGTTGATTAGGGACAGAATTAAGAAGGAAAAGTTGTCGAAAAGTTTTGGGTCAGGGATTTTGCTCTGTGATGTGTATCCTGTTAGTCGTAAGCTGAATTTTCAGGATGCTCCCGTGGGTACTACAGTGGGAAGTGTGGGAAATGTTGAAAATGTTAGGGAGGGTAATGATGTACCTGGTACAATACAGTTTAATCTCCCACCAGGTTCGATGTCAGATCAGGAGATCCATTCATCTGCTATTGATGTAAGGAATAGCTGACTTTTATTCTTTTTTTTTTTTGAATTATTGGATTTGATTTCAATATTTATACATGATTTTTTTAATCTCTTTTCAGCGTGTTCATGAACAATTTTTGTTCATGAAAAGAGATATGAATGTGATATCTTGTTTTTACAATGACAAGATAAAGCAGATTCTTCTTTCACGCCGCAATGAGATCCACAATGCTCCTGGTATTAATGATTCTCAGGATGATCATTTTTTTTTTGGAACCTCAAGTTCAATCTGTGATTGATGAATCTCTGAACTTGCTATTTGGGTGACAAAAATGCCCGAGGTGTTGGATCAAGTTTCTGCATTTGAGCACAACAAGACAAATGAAGGGAGGAAGGAAATTAGGGAGGAAAATAGGGGAACTTTACCTGTGATTGGCTTTGAAAATATTATTACAAATGGAGGGTCCAGGTGTTCGATTTCTTTTAATTGGAAATCTGATGAAAGGCTTATTGTTATTTCACACTTTTTGAAGTCAAATAACAAAGAAATGAAGCTATTGGATCCATTAGTCTTAGAGATTGTTGACTATTGCATTATCAATGATTCTTATTTGCCTCCTAAGTAAGTAAGCTTTTGTTTGATTACATTGTTTTTCTTTTATTTTTTTTTATTTATTTATGAAACACTTTTATAATTATTACTTTATATTCTTTGACACAGTGAACTATTGGTATGCTTTCATGAAAATCATTTGATTCAAAAGCAAGAGTTCTACACATTAGGAGAGCCTTCTGAAATCATGAACAGTAGTATTTGGATTGCTGGGCGGTGCTTCTCAATGAAAATCAGAAATTTGTTAAGGATGGACCTCGAAAATTGTACTTTGGTTCTTCAATTAGTGTGAGTTTTTTTTATTATTTCAATGTTTATACATGTGTTTACTTTTCACTTATTTTTTTATTTGTTTAAATGTTATGAAGGTTACAATAGTAGAAGCTGCCTGCAGTGATGACAATTCACAACTAATGGACAATGTATATCAAGAATTGGAGGAGTGGATGAAAATAGCTTGCAATAATTTTGATTTGTCAGAAGTGGAGCTGGTAATACTTTCTTTTTTTGATGCTATAATAATATAGTTCCTTTTTTTTTTTATGTTGTAGTTACCTTTATTTAAATGAGAGTTCATATTGTAAAATACTCTTAGAAAGTCTACATTATAAATTGTTTTGGTTTCTACTGGTACTTTTTATACAATTCTTTTGGTAGTTGTATTTTTTTTTATGTTGTAGGTACCTTTACCACAATTACAAATGATATGTGTTTTTTTTTATTGCTAATTATGATATCTTTGTTGCAGATATTTTTACCTTGTCTAAGTGGCAATCGCTATTGCTTATTTGTGGTGAATTTGACTCAAGGAAAAATTCAGTTTATTGATAATCTGAATTATGATGAGAATGGTCGTAACTTCTTGAAAAAGTTATCTAGTCTCTTGGTATTACTTTCTCCCTCTTCCATATTTTCACTATTTTCTTGTCTAAAGGTTTTTACAGTGAGTTTTAGTAATTAGGATTTGGACAAATTTTAAACTAGTTTACATGTTATAATGACTCTTAATAGATCATTTAATGTGACTGTGATCTGATTATATGATTTTTTGGTAGTGTGATATGATCAGTACCTTCTTTGATCAAAGACTTACTCAATCTGGAGCTATGGTTGACTATGCTTTGGAGTTTCCTACTTTGAATTGGAGATCTAGCAAAGATAATTCAGATTCTGGTGTTTATACTATAATGAGTATGCTTTTATTCAATGGAGCTGATGAGTTTAAATGTGAAATTTTAAAAACAGTTATGATTCTATTCCTTTTAACTTATTTCTTTTAATTAATATCACAATATCTTATATTGATTATATACTTTTTTAGGCTTCAAATAGGAAGCTTCTCCGGGTTCAAATTGCTGCATCTTTCTGTTATCTGATATGAATGAAGCTAGATCAAATGTAATTGGTAAGGTGGCTGAATTCAAACCTGATAGGCAGCGCCTTTCAAAAGAGGTTGAAGAAAGAAGGAAGAAAGAGATTGAGCAGAGGAAGAATAAGAAGAAGCAGACTGTAGACAAGAAGAAGAAAGGAAAGGCTTAAGATATCATAATTTTCTGAAACTAAGCAAGGAAAGGCTTAACATTGTGAAACTGATTTTTAAACTTAGTTGTTATCATAATTTTCTGAAACTAAGCAAAGTACTTTGAAGAATGTATAGCTAATTAGTATTCATTCAACTTTTGTGTAGGTTATTGAATGAAGAATGGAAAAATATTCATTTTGTGTAAACAAACTTTTGCCAATATATTATGAAAATGGTATATTGTTCGTTTAATTCAATTATTAAAGATCTCTGTTATCTTATGTCACTATATGTTAAAATAAAGTCACTATATTATTTATAAGGTCCTTGTTTGGTTCAAAAAGGTCACATTTACCATAGGTCACTATATGTTAAAATAAAATCACTATATTATTTATAAGGTCTTTAGTTGGTTTAAAATGTCTCTTCATTACCATAGGTCACTATATTTTAAAATAAAGTCACTATATTATTTACAAGGTCTTTGTTTGGTAAAAAAAGCCCACTTCTGTTTCAATATTTTATAGTGTCAAAAGTATAAGGACTATGTTTTAAATTAATGGTAATTATCATAGGTCACTATATGTTAAAATAAAGTCACTATTTTATTAATAAGGTTACTATTCTAAATATAAAGGTAACTAAGTCAAAATTATGGACTATGTTAACTAATGGTAATAAACTAACAATATAAGGGTATTATATAAAGATTACTATATTAAAATAAAGATCATTATATTGTAAAAAAAGATTACTATTCCAAGAAGTATATATCTCAAAATTAAAGGTTACTATGTTAATCATAAATGATACTATATCATAATAATCAGTATTTAAGATTTAAGCATTTTAATTTCTTGATTTGTTATCTGTTGATCACAGGAAACATTGAAACAACTTTAACAACTAAAAGGAGCCTTCTGTGTAGGACAGCAAACTACCAATTAACAACAAGTTTAGAGAAAAAAGCTTTGTGTGTAAGGTATTACAGTACTCATGTGCTTTATTCCTTGTTTCTTTGAAAAGCAATAAGTACAATTAAGATCAAATCAAAAGACATAATACTATAACAAAGGACACTATGTCAATCATAAAAGATACTATATCATAAAAAAGACACTATATCTTAAAAAAAAAGAAACTATATAAGTATTTAAAAGATATAAAGTTTCCAAGAATGAAATTACAAATAAAAGGTAACCATGTAACAATTCAGGTTACTATGACAAAAAATATTAATATTTGGTATCTTAAAACTATCAGAGCATATACTTATTATTAATATTTGGTGTTTTGGCACCAAATTCTCTATGTTTCCTCCTCTTCCCCTTTTTCATGTAGTCATAGCTTCCTGGAATCCTTTTATTTTTGCACGAGCTAGGTCTAGTACTTGAACCACATTAGATGAAGTTGCTTCTGAATTCTCTTCTACACCTGTAGTGTTCTCAGAATGGTTGTCAGTTGACTTCATAGCAGAAATAATCTCATCAATTGCACTTGAATCTTTTGCATAGCTTTCTTCTAACACTTTCCTTGATTTTTCAAACTTGTGGCTCTTAAGGATTAAACTATAATACTTCCTCACCATGTGTAGCCGCCAGGGTGTGAAGTTGTTTAATGTCCCCTTCTTCCTTTGCTCTGCCTCAATACTCTCCCAAACTTTATCCTTAGCCACTTTAGTCCACCTGATAGATATGTATTGCTCTGGGATTTTTTCAACAGAATGCATGTGTAAGATTCTAAGGCTATGGAAGCATAACCAACCTGACTCTTCAAAATTCTTGCATGGACATTGAGTTGTTTGGTTAACAGGATCATAAGTTACTGCTTGAGTTGTGCCATCCCTGAATAATGTATGTGTATAAACCTCAGCAGCATGTTTTAGTAAGGCAGACATTGGATAGCTTGAAATAGGAATTGATTTTATGCTATTGAACTCATAAAAATCCTCATTCCTTCTCCAAGTCTTCACTGTCTTCTGAAATATGTTGTAGAATTCTGTCAAACTTGTTTTCTTGTTTGCTTTGAATCCCACTGCATGATTTGTGCTCTCACTTCTCTGTGATGACAAGATTCCCGCGGAGAAAAAGTCCTTACTTAGAGCTGTTGACCACTTGTGCTTTAGTGAGTATAACCTTTTGAACCAACTATTGTTTTTCAGTTTGTACTTTGTCATCATTGAATCCCAACATACTTCAAACTGAGCTTCATTAATACAACCACTCAAGCATTTCATGAAAGCAGCTTTGAATGTATCATCACTCTTCAAAACTCCAAATCTTGTTACAGCATTTTGAATCAAGTGCCATAGACATAATCTATGTCTAGTATTTGGAAATACCTGCACATTTTTATACAGTTACTATAGTTTCAAAATTGGTTATTGCATTTAAAATATAGGTAACTATATAATTTTAGTACAAACATATTTAGATGTAGTGGTATTCAAAAAGTTCCTTCAAAATTAGAAATTACCTTTGGTATTGCTGCTGCCATGGTTGCATCTTGGTCTGTAAACAGTGATACAGGACATTTACCACCCATTGCCTTTTTGAAGGTCTCAAATAACCACACAAATGAATCTGTGGTCTCATCACCAATAAAAGAACAAGCAAACATAGTGTTCTTCCAGTGGTTGTTTATTCCTACAAAGGGTGCACAGATGAGGTTGTAACGATTAGTCCTATATGTTGTGTCAAATACAGTGACATCCCCATATATTTTATAATCTTCAAGCATCATGGAATCCCTCCAAAACAAGTTACAAACCCTTCCATCTGAATCCAACCTTACTCTGAAAAAGAAGTTAGGGTCCTCAGAATAAGCTTCCTGTAGTTTGTCACAAACTACTTGAGAATCTCCTCCTTCAATGGCCTCTATTTTTAGTTTATAACAATAATTCATGTGGTCTTTCACTGTATGACCAATAGCATCTTATCCACCAGCTTCATTTGACATGTAATTAAAGGATTCCATAGGTCTTAGTCCAGATTCTTGCATGGCCTCAATTACTTGCCCTTTAATTCCAGTCATTGCACGCTCTGAACGGTGGAAATGGTTCCATTGTGGTCTAGTGAGTGGATGATTGTGCACCAACACATGCTGAACTATCTCAAATTGCCCTTCCTCATTCAATTTTGCTATTATCAAAGCATTACAGTTTGTCCTTGTTATTGGAACTCTCCTACTTTGTCTTGTTTTTTTTTTTAACTGAAGAACTTTCCTCTGTCAAGAGTTCTTCTGCAATTTTTTCCTTCTTTTTACCAGAATTTCTTAATCCTGCTGCAGAACATACAAAGAACTTTTTGGTGATGATATCTTTAGTTCCAATTTTGCTTGTTTGTTTTTCTTTTCTAACACTAAAACCATCTGCAGCAGCATGTTGACAATACAATTCATGTATTTCCGCAAGTGTTGCTCGAGTTTCTCCTACTAACCAACTACTAATCTCATCGTTATTACTTGCACCTGTTATTTTAAAAAATAGATCACTATACTATCACTAAAGGCAACTATGTTACTTAAAAGTGGCTTTGCATGTCAGAAAAGCTTTAACAAGCATCATATAAGTACAATGTATTTATTTTTAAAAATAGATTACTATACTATTACTAAAGGCAACTATATTACTTAAAAGTTGCTTAATTATGCATAATCGCTTAATTTTCAATCAACATCAATTACACTTAATCGCTTAACTTTCACAATTACGCATAACTGCTTAATTCACAATTACGCATAATTCAATAAACATAAATTACGCATAATTACTTAATTTTCAATCAACATAAATATGCATAATCGCTTAATTCACAATTGCTTAATATAATCGCCTAATTCAAATTATCAAATTAAAACCTAAATGTCTAATTTAATCTTCAAATCAAACAATTGCATAATCGTTTAATTCACATTATCAAATTCTAATATGAATTGCATATAAATATATCGTATAATACCCTGAGGCTTCATTAGAGATTGATTTTCGTCATGAACTTCATTATCATCCTCAGCTTCAATAATAGCTTGTTCTTCATCTTCAACAGCTTCATTCAGATCGAAATTGATGACATTAATATCGAAGTTTTCTATAGTGTCCTGTATACTTCGATTTAGATCCATTTCAATTAATTGTATAGAAGAATTCTCCATGAAATTTGAAGAAATTGATTGATTAAGTAGAAAATAAAACCTAGAATTCAGTAGAATTAGAAGGAGAGAGATGAAAATTCGAGCTTTATTTTAGTTGTTAATGGCGTCAAACTGGAAGGAAATTAGTAGGTTGTGGCAGAAGAAATGTCTTGTGAAACAAGTTAGTGGACTGGGCTATGAAATAAGTTAGTAGGATGGGCTGTTCAGTGGCATGTGGCACGTGAGACCCTAAGGTCCACCCAAAAAATTTTAAAATATTGAATGCCTCCGATATTATTTATTTTATTCATAAATTATGCCATATTTATAACAATTATACTTTTAATCTACATATTATTTTTTACCTAAACCACAATATTTATTTAAACACGAAGCGGTATCAAAATCTCAACACGGATTAATAGCATAATCATCTGTCTCATTCATATTTCTTTTTAATTCGTCTGGTATAATTTAAATAATCCTTTGTCCAAATGTCTGCCAACCCCAGAAAAAACCGCAGAACTTCCATTCAAAGTTATGCTAAAACTTCCAGAAAAAAAACACAGAATACTCAAATCAAAATTTCAAAAAAAAAAAAAACACACACACACACAAAATTAAGCTCGAAATGTTTGGAAATTTTGATCAACTACAAGAAAATCAAAGTAGTAATAAAATTGAAAAAGAAAGAAAGAGATTGGAAACAAAAATCGGTAAAAAATAAAGAAAGAAGCCATCAGATTAGCATATTGGCACATTCGTCATAGCAACAACAACCCCAAATATCAAATTGGGAGCGCAATTATTTATTGTTGCCACTCGTGCTTACTGTTTTCATCATCGGCTCTGTTTAATTTTTCAACAATTTTTCGAAGTTTGAAATCAAAATCAATGTCAGAAGCTCAAAATAAAACTAAAAATCATCGAATTCAAAATTGAAAATGGGTAGATTTAGGGTTTGGAAGGTGGAAGATAGTACGGAGTATTATTATAGGGGAAGGTGAAGGAATCGTATAGGTGATTCTCGGCCCAATTTGGCTATACTGTGTCTGTATGTTATAAAGGGCCCATAATTGGGTTTAGTTGATTTAGTTTACAAATTTTTACCTAAGGGAACACTGGCTATACCCCTAACACCCTCTGTAAGTCTGGTTCTGCATTTGTGTATCATAAGATGTTTATTTTTATTAAGGAGTTTTTTTTGTTCAAATTAATATATATTTTGAATTGAATTTTAAGAATTTTTTATAAATAAAAATAAGAGCAAATTTATTTATTAGGATTACTATGTACAAATTAATTTTTTTTTTTTTTAAAAGAAGTAGTGCATCATCCAATGTTCATTTTTGTTTATTCCCGTTTCAACAGATGTTCATTTTTGTGTCATTAAATGTTCATTTCAAGAGTTATGGGTAAGTTTCATAGAAAGATGTATGCAAGTACACACGTCTTATATTTCTATTTATTCAAAGAAAACGTTGTTAACAAATAATTTTCAATATAAAATAAATTTAATTTAACTACAATAATTACACATTTTTATATAGCTATACTATTACATGTAATTGTTCTATAAATATGAAACCTAACCAAATGTACATATGTGTCTTGCTAAATGAACATTATTTGTTACATGGAAAAATTGAAAAGAATAATCCCACCTTTCGCCCATCTTCTCAAAATAATCTCACCTTTTCGAATTTCAAAAATAAACCCACCTTGTTACCCCATCTTCCCAAAATAAACCTTTTTACCTACAACCGTTTCAACAAGTATTTTTTTTTTGTTCAAATAATAAATCAAAGGCAAAAAAAAAAAAAAAAAAAACAAAAAAGAAAAAATCCCCTAACACCGTAACTCAGCCCCACCCCACCATTGGGCATTGGCACTTCCATCACCATCACCACCACCATCACTGTAACCCAGCCCCACCCCATCCCATCGGTGGTTGTTCAGAAAGCTGGTGGTGTTGGAATGATTCTCGCTAACGGAGCATCTAACAGTGAGGGATAAGTAGGTGACGCGCATTTGATCTCAGCCATTGGTGTTGGATCCGACAAAGGAGATTTAATTTAATCAAAGCTTACGCTGCAACACAATCACCGAAAGCAACAATCAAATTTAAAGGAACCGTCATCGGAATCAAACCGGCGCCGGTGATTGCGTCATTTTCCGGCAGAGGACCAACGGGTTAAACCTGGAGATATTAAAACCCGATTTGATTGCACTCGGAGTTAACATTCTCACAGGTTGGACCGAAGCAGTGGGTCCCACCGGGGTAGACGTGGATACTGGAGAACGGAGTTCAACATTTTGTCCGGCACTTCAATGGCGGATCCGGATTATGTTAACTTCTTGTGTGCGATTGGTTAGGGGCCGAAGACGATTCAAGTGATTGGTGGCGATTTGGTGTGTGTGGGTTCGGTGGTGGTAGGTTGTGATGGCAGCAACAACAGAGGAAGCAGAGACTTTGTTGTGATGGTGGCGATGGTGGTAAGGCGCGACGGACAACTGGATCTGACTGGTTGTGATGGGGTTTAGGATTTGTTGTGATGGTGGCAAGGGATAGGGGGCTCTAGCATAGTGGCAGGGGAAGGAAGAAGAAGATGGTTTTATTTTTTTAATTCTTTAATTTTTTAAAAACCAATTAAAAGATGACACATGTCAAATTACCTTTTAAAACAGGTTACCAATGCAAACAATCGGTCATTAAATGAAAAATGTTCATTTTCGGAAGATGGGGTTACAAGGTGGGATTATTTCTGGAATTCGAAAAGGTGGGATTATTTTGAGCAGATGGGCGAAAGATGAGATTATTCTTTTCAATTTTTCCTTGTTACATTTGATATAATAAAGTGAGTATATATCTTCCTTGTTGCAACCCTAATCATATACTTGTATGTTTCCGATGAATAATTTAATCTAATCACAATATATACTTGTATGTTGCTTTCAACTTCCTTACTTGATTATCCTGTACAATAAAAGATTGAAATTTTTTTTCAAAAATAATAATAATAATAATAATAATAATAATAATAATAATAACAACAAAAATAACACATTCCAAACAAAAGTATATGGAATCTAAGGATTCAAAATTGAACATTTACTCACGAATAACAATTAGAACTTAGAAATGAACACATTATAAAGATATAAAAATATTCAATGTATGAGAATGAAAATGTATAAACTCTGAATTAACATGTATTTTATTTTAAATGAACATTTAAATCACTTCCATTAAACAAAATAAGACAATTAAATCATTCACAAAAACAACTTTGATCACATTGTTAGAAAACGAACAAATATTGATATCTAACTGAACATCTTTCAGCATGAAAATGAACATACACCAAAAGTCAAATGAACATGTTCAATAAGAGAATGAATAAATAAAAAAATTAATTAAGCTTTTTTTAATATATAATAACAAACAAGTATTAAAAATTGAAACAAATATCTTTTAATATGAGAATGAAAAAATATTAAACTAATGAATATGCTTAGATCAAAAATATTAAACTAATGAATATGCTTAGTCAAATGAACATGTTCAATACGAGAATGAATAAATAAAAAAAATTAATTAAGAATTTTTAATATATAATAACAAACAAGTATTAAAAATTGAAACAAATATCTTTTAATATGAGAATGAAAAAATATTAAACTAATGAATATGCTTAGATCAAAAATTAAATATTGTATTATGCAAATGAACATCTTTTCATATGAGAAGGAACATGTAATGCAAAGAGAATGAACATGTATCAAATTTAAATGAACATATACTACTATGAAAATGATCCTCAATGAATATGAATTCTATGCCATTTAAAAATGTTTTTTTTCCATCTAAAAGCTAAGGAACATTTATGATAGATATTAGCCAAAATTCGTCTAGTAACACTTTTTAGTGAAAAAATAAGTAATATTAAATAATAATTGATGCTTCAATTTGATAAATTAAATTGATAATTTGTCTTTAATTTTAGTTATTATAAATTTATAATTTTTTTTGCAACAATAATTTGAATATTAATCCTTTTACAAATGAACATAAAGTCCATCTAAAATGAACATTTATGATAGAATAAACGTATGAGTCAAAATTCACCGAATAACAATTTTAATTAAACTATAATATAATTATGGAAAATTCTTATAACATAATTCAATTATTATAATAAAAATCATTTCCATTAAAAGCTATGATATGAAAATAATTCTAATGATTATTTTTTAATAAGTAAATGACCATATACTAGTATAAATGAACATTTGCGAAAATAAAAATGAACATTCATTAAAAAATAATTAAAAAATAAAAACCATTACGAACTAAATTTACATTTCTATGATTCTACGAAATAAATCAAATTATTCATTATATATATTACGGTAATTGAACTCTATTTTTAATCTTTTGTCCAGTAATTGTATAAGCTAATAACACACACCGCAATTTAAATCAACTTATAATAGAGTATATAAAACATCATTCTACTATAATCTTAAGAAATCATATAAGAAATTATGAACTACGACTATTGAAATTTCATATTTATTGAAGAATAAGGCCAAAAAAAAAAGTTAGGGGTTGATTTTTTTTTTTTCAAAAAATAAACAAAATCAACAACTTACAATTTGATTGATGGTCGTTCTTTTGTAGAAATTTTTTTCGATTTCTTGATTTTTTCTTTTACAAGTAGAGATCTAAAAGCATTTTGATTTATTTTTCAAGAAATATTTAGAAGATTTTGGTAGTTAAATTATGAGGAGAGAGAAAGCGGTAAAATTATGAGGAGGGAGAAATTTTAAATGTTAGTAAAATTATGAAGAAAGTTGATTTAATTATAAGAGGAGAGAGAAAATATAGGAAACTAAAGGGGGAGGTGTTGTAGGTATTATGGTAATTTAGTGGGGGGTGTAGGCAATGATGCCTAAAGGGGGGTGTAGGTAACAACTAGGTTTAGTTCGGTTATTTTTTGTACGATTTCCATTTAGGTAGGGATTTGAAAATGGTCGATTTGTAAATGAGTTTTTTTTTTTTTTTTTTTTTTTTTTTTTTTTTTTTTTTTCTTTTGGCAAAGAGAACTAAAAAACTTAGAACAAAGAAACTAAAAAACAAAAGACAATAATTCCCTACGCCGAGCCGCTCCCGCTAAATCATGCGCTTGAGTAATAGAAGACCTCGGCACCTTACGAATGTGGCAAACCATAAAGGAACGAAGAAGGCTTTTAATATCTTTAACAATCCAAGCCACAGTGATATCCGTAGGCCCAGAATCCAAAAGTAAGTGCGGAATAACTGAACAGTCCGTCAGAAGCAAAACACGAGAAACATCATGACGCAAAACATGTTTCAACGCAAATAAACAGGCCAAAAGTTCAGCTTGAAGAGCCGAATTAGTCATACAGACACGAGCCCCCCCAGTCACCTGGGGAACAGCAGAAGAAGGCAAAACAGACCATCCTACCCCTGCATTATGAGAAATAGCATCCCAAGAACCATCAAAACAAACAGTCGAATCACAACTATCCTGGATACTACCCCTAAGAACATGAACCAAAGGAGACCGAGAAAAACCAGGCGGTCTACCAGACTAAGTGACACCAAACAAGCGAGCTGATTTACTTCTTTCAAACCAGGTGTAGGCCAAATCAAGAATAGCAGGTGGAGAAAAAACTGCAGATCGAAAACGCACACTAGTCCTAGTCAACCAAATAGCCCATAACATAGCAAACACTCTATCTAAATTGTCCCAATCCTTCCCACGAAGAAACTCAGAAACAAAATCCATAAACCAAACCGACCAATGGGCTGGCAATGAGGAAGGAAGAGAAGGTAAAGGAAATTCCTCCCACAGCCATTGAGTCACCCGACAGTCACGGAACAAATGAGCAATAAACTCATATGTGTCCCGACAGAAAACACAGGTAGGGTCAACGGGAATACCCTTAAGGGCAAGGATGTCAGTTGTAGGCAGAGCATGGCGAATTAATTTCAACGCAAACATCTTCCATTTGGGAAATAAAGGAGATCCCCAAAGCTGTTTCCAACAACCTACGGGTCTTCCACCAGGATCTAGAATGAAATGCTGAGAAACCAAAGTTGAGTAGGCTGACTTAGTGGAGAAAATACCATCCTTCGTATACTTCCTATACACAAAATCATCAATTCGTTCTTTAGGAAGATCCAGACCTAGAATAGAAGAAGCAATTGAAGGAGGGAATAAGAGACGAATTAGAGATGCATTCCAAACCATCGAATCAGACAACAACAACTCAGATACCAATTCACGATGGTTCTCAACAGGAACGGTATCTTTAAACACAACCTGAACATGTGGAACCCAGATATCATTAAGGATACTAATATTGCTCCCTGATCCAATTTTCCAACCCAAACCTTTAGAAAGAGCCAAACCGCCTTCAAGAAGGCCACGACTACCCCAGATGGCCTAGACCCAGAAATTGATGGCGGATGAGAAAACAAACCCGAATGCTTAGTCTTAAGCACACGAGAGGCCAAGAGATGAGGCTGCCTCATAAGACGCCACGATTTCTTGGCCAACAAAGCTATGTTGAAGGACCTCAGGTGACGAATACCCAAACCCCCTAAACCTTTAGGGGTATGCAAACCTGTCGAAGAGGCCAAAGAAAGACCCTTAGCATCTGAACTTGCCTTCCACCAAAACCGAGTTAACAACAAATCCAGACGATCACAAATTGTATCTGGAATCTTAAAAACAGACAAAACATGAGTAAAAGCAGCCACCAAGACCGAATTAATGACCACCAACTTAGCCGCAGACGACAGATTAAGAGAAGCATAGCACGAAAGTCGTTGAACGACTTTATCTATCAAAAACTGGAAGTCTTTACACTTACTCCGACCTAAATCAACCGGGAGCCCTAAATAACTTCCTATTGAAGATTTTGCGTCCAAACGCAAAGAATCGGCCAAAAAATCCCGATAATCAGAAGGATTATTAGCACTAAATCTAATAAAGGACTTCTGTAAATTCACCATCTGACCAGAAACAGGACAAAACTCCTTCGTAACAAACAAAATATGATCACAAGCCGACGACGAAACACGAAAGAAAAATAAAGCATCGTCAGCAAAGAACAAGTGAGAAACCGAAGGAGAGCGACGAGAAATTTTCAAACCTTGGAAAAGACCTTGTTGTTCATCCCGTCTCAACATCAAGGAAAAAATCTCCATACACAACACAAATAAATATGGAGATAACGGATCACCCTGGCGAAGGCCACACTTAGGGCGAAATACCGTAGAAGGAGAGCCATTAACCAGAATTTGGTAGGAAACTGTAGAAACACACTGTTTCAAAATATGAACCCAATACGGAGGGAAACCAAAACGACGAAGAACCTCCCATAAAAAATCCCAGTTTACTCTATTATAGGCTTTATTCATGTCAAGCTTCAAAGCCGCCGAACAAGCTTTTGAAGAGGAGGAAGACATTTAAGAAAGCAATTCATGAGCCAGTAATCCATTATCCGCCATAAGTCTACCCGGAACAAAGGCGGTTTGTGTATCAGAAACAAGAGAAGGAAGAACCCGACGCAACCTATGCGACAGACATTTTGCAATGCATTTATATAAAACATTACAAAGGCCAATCGGGCGAAACTGAGAGGACAGTTCCAGGTTATCCACCTTCGGAAGTAAAGTCAAGAAAGTACGATTCCATTCTTTTAATAAATAACCATGCGCCAAAAAATAACGAATCGCACTAATTACTAGGCCACCAACCACCCCCCAATGAGACTTAAAAAAAAACAGCTGTAAATCCATCCGAACCAGGAGATTTATCATCTCCAATATGGAACATAGCCTCTTTAATTTTATTATCTGAGAAAGGAGTTTTAAGGAATTGGTAATCCATTGAAGACAGAACATGCATAGAAAGACTATCCCAATCACAGATCCCCAGAGTAGGAGAGGTATCCTGACAATTATAAATGGCTGCAATATGCTGCTGTAACAGATTAGCAATACCAGCCTGTAGGGAATAGATTTCAAGCATTAACCCCTAGCTTGAACCCCACTGTGATCATACACTAAAGTACGGTGGCGTCCAAAAGGGAAGAAGATAGAGCAAAAGAGTCGCCAACAAGTTTTAGGAACTTGTAAACCGTTCACGGGGTGAAGGTTACACCCCTTAACGATCCAAGAGATCGTCAACTCCATAAGGTCTAGAACCAAATAAGGGTTCGGGGATGAAGGTACAAATCCAACTTAAAAGAGATTGAACCTGCCCTAATAATAGGCCTTTACTTTATTCTGATTGTATTTATGTGCGCTTTTTAATTAACATGCAATCAATAAGTTTAACCCTAAACCTGTTTATCTATGTTGGTTGAATTTAATGCAAAAATAAATCTATTATTGGCTATCACTTGAATTATAATCACATTAACCCTAACAAGATTATTAATTATCTTATTAAGCGTGATTACAAGTACCAAATTCCCTTTAACATGCATAAAAGGCATGATCAAGCAATAAATAAATAACATCAAGCAACATAATAATAAATAAATAATTAGAATCATCATCAAAATAATAATAATAAAATAATCATCATGAATAAAATAATCATCATGAATTATAACAATTATAATCATAAATATGTTCATGTTAATATTAAAGCATAATAATAGCAAGATCCTAGGCATGATACTAACAAGATTAATAGCAAACCCTAGCATGTCACTAAGCAATAAAGATCAAATCTTTAACCCTAACATGATACTAACAATCATAAATATTAGGAAGAACATAGGAAGCATCGCAACAATCATATTTAATATTAAAATTACCCTAGACATGATACTAGGAATATCATAATAACAATATAAACATGATTTCTACATCATAACATCAATTAAAATCATTAAAGTACTTACTTTGATGCTTCGTACCTCTTTCTAATTACAAAATACACACTATAGGCATCGCTCGAAGTGCGCCTACGTTAAAGCATGTGTGAATATGCTTGGCACTCTTAGGAAGTGGGAAGTGACGTATACGATTAGGGACAAGGAAAGTAGGGAGCCGCCAACAATTTTTTTAAGGAACTTGTAAACCGTTCACGAATCATAAAAAGGCAACCACAATAAGGGACAACGATAGGCAACAAAGATTGACACGTGAAGGTTAATGTAGGGAATAGTTTCAAGCCTTTAAAAATCCCACTAGCTCGAATCCCACTGTGATCATACACTAAAGTACGGTGGCGTCCAAAAGGGAAGAAGATAGAGCAAAAGAGTCGCCAACAAGTTTTTAAGGAACTTGTAAACCGTTCATAGGATAAAGGTTACACCCCTTAACGATCCAAAAGATCGTCAACTCCATAAGGTCATGAACCAAATAAGGGTTCGGGGATGATGGTACAAATCCAACCTAAAAGAGATTGAACCTGCCCTAATAATAGGCCTCTACTTTATTCTGCTCGTATTCATGTGCGCTTTCTGACTAACATACAATCAATAGATTTAACCCTAAACCTGTTTAATCTATGTTGGTCGAATTTAATGCACAAATAAATTATTATTGGCGATCACTTGAATTTATAATCACAATTAACCTAACAAGATTATTAATTATCTTATTAAGCGTGATTGCAAGTACCAATTCCCTTTAAGCATGCATAAAGGTGATCAAGTAATAATATAAAATAATATGCATATCAAGCAAACATAATAAATAATCAACATCATTAATAATAATAATAATATCATAATAATAATCAATGATAACCATAATCATGTTAAAGCATAGCAAGATCCTAGGCATGATAGTAACAAGATTAATAACAAACCCTAGCATGTCACTGAGCAATAAAAATCAAATCTTTAGCCCTAACATGATACTAACATGAATAAATATTAGGAAGAGAATAAAAGACATCGTAAAAATCATATTTGATATTAAAGTTACCCTAGACATGATACTAGGAATCAAAATAACGATCTAAACATGACTTCTACATCATAATATCAATTAATCAATTAAAGAACTTACTTTCATGCCTCGTACCTCTTTCTAATAACAAAATACACACGTTAGTAACTTCAAGGAAAATAAATAATCAAAACAATTAAATTAAATAATTGAAATAGAGATTTGGGACCAAACCCTCAGAAATTAAAACCTTTCACGTCTAGGGCGAAGGCAACTTCGAATATGGCTAGGCGTATCAAGATCTTGTGAATGCGGAATTTTGTATTAAAGAGCAAGGAAAAAAGGAAAGAATGAATGAATGTTAAGAATTATTGAAAAGAGATGAAGATGATGAAAAGAATTGATGAACGATTTATTAATAAAAAGAGTTGATTAATAGTCAATGAATATTGATCATGGGTAATTGAAAAAGTGATTGTTGATGATAGATGATGAAGATAGTTGATGAAGACTTAAGAATAAGGAGAATTGGTGAACGATAGAGGTAGATGATGAAGATAGTTGATGAAGACTTAAGAATAAGGAGAATTCGTGAATGAAAACGGAGTTTTTGATACGATATTTATACAGAAAATCATCCAAAAAAGATAATTTATCAAAACAGAGTCTGAAGATCGAAAAACTAACTTGGCGCCAGGACCAGTGGCTAGCGCCAGGCGCCAATAGCTGGCGTCTAGCGCCAATCCTGATTCCAGGCGCCAAGGCCTGGGGTTGGACGCCAAATTGGATTTCAACGCGTTTTCGAAAATCTGATAAATTTCCCGTACTGGAAGATAAAATAATATAATTTCAGTCGAAAATGCTATTTGATCATTTGTTCTGAAGAGTCCTAATTGAGTTAGGAATGATAAATCATATTAGGCCCTCCCCTAGATCATTGGGCCGTACTTAAAACTCAAACCGGGCCAAGTTTAGTAAATTGGCCATAACTTCCTCAATATTCATCCGAATTGGGCTTATAATATATCGTTGGAAAGGTCTTTGCAAGCCCCATCCAACTACACCACTATTGGACCCATATCATGGACCAACCAAACTGGATTGGCTGTTTTCTTAAAATAAAGTTTTTAAAAACAGAGAGAAGAGAAAAGAAAAGAAAAGAAATAAAACTTTCCGCAACACTAGACCTTTCCACACTTTCGTTTCATTCGATTATGATTCGACGTGAAAGGTACTCATCACTGGGTTTGGTTTTGGGGAGACACAAATGGGTGTCTACAGTTACACCTCATTCATAATCCATGAGATTACTAACTCCATATGGTTCGGAACCATGAAAGGAGGATCGGGGATGATGGTACGAAGTGAGTCATGGTGTCACATTCGCCCGTATTGGCCTCTACTCGATTCTTATAGTAAAAAGTGATTCCTGCGATCTCAAAGGCATATAAACAAAGATTCAATTTGCTCCAAACTATCATTAAGCTAAATTGGTTGAATATTAATGCAACACATAATTCTAAAATATTTGTGATCACTTCAATTAACAACAAGATTAAAAGGAACCTAAACCGGTTGTCCAAATTATCTTATTAGGCGTGATTTTCAATTACATATTCCCTTTAAACATGCAATATGGTGATCAATAAATATAATAAAATAAACATTAATATTGGAAGCAATTCAACAATAAATTGTTAGTCAAATCAAATATAAAATAACCTAATCATGATACTAGAAATATTAAAAATTAAAATAAGAGTAATTAAATTAATTAATTACTCACATTCTGCGCGTTCCTTTAAATTGCTACATCATGAATAAACTGTTAGTAGCTTAATAAAAAAATATAAAGTAAATGGAAATTAAATTAAAGTAGAGTTGATTTGGTCCAAACCCTCAGTCAATTATACCTTTCACGCCTTGGTTTAAGTATAGAACTTTGGGTATTGTATGAACTCCTTGGAGTGCTTAATTAGGGAAAGAATGAAAGAATAGGGAGGCTAGTGTTTAGGCTAAAGAGGGAGAAGAGAATTATTTTATGATCAATATTGTTGATGATTGGAAAAGGGGTGATATGAATCTATTTATATAGAAAAAAGAGGGTCGAAGAATCAAGAAAAGATCGAGTTCGAATCGGATTAAAACTCTTGCGATACACAGCAGTTTTTGCGGTTTTTGTTTTTATCATATCTTTAGATCCAGAAATAGGAATAAGATGAATAAGATATCTTTGGAAATATATTGAAGTCTAATTTCTAACCCAATTAGAATCAGATTAAAATATTTTATAGAACAAAAGATATAGCCGAAATAGTGAGACGGTATCAGTTTTGGATAGAGTTTGATATCTTATTCATATCTTTTCCGTTATAGCTCGGAATTGATATTATAATATATCATTGGAAAGATAATTTCAAGGGCTATCCAAACATATAAAATTTGGATAAAAACTATGAGGAACTAAAATAATATCTGTCTATCTTTGAACGTCTTTCAATTCGGATAGAAATAGGATTTTCAAAAAGAAAAGTTTTATTCAATTTCAAACTCTT